TGACAGAGCACGGTGGCGATACCTTCTGTCAAATTACTGAAACTCCTTACAGAATCCTTGAAACGCAAGGCCTTTATGAACGACGGTAGTAGAGTTTGAGTTTGACCCAATGTAATCATCATCAACACATACAACTTACAGCTTAGACCTCCAGTCATGCCATCTCAGAAGTAGATTTTACATCACATCAAAGCCAAAGATTGGTAACAAGCCTCATGACGTTTAGGCAACACGTACAACTAAGTGGTAAGTTAACTTCTTGTAGAATAACCTACATAATATAAAAAAAACAGCATAATGTCAAAAAAAATCGGCATAATGTCACTTTTCAAGATACGTGATACCCGTGCCGGTCGACTTACGTGGCCACTCGATGATTCGACTAGCACCTGGGTCCAGACCTAATTGAATGGGTACACATTGTTGCCAGTAATACCGTAGTGTGTTGATTTTAACACCACTAGCTTACCATGGACCCTAGGATCATCAGATTTATTTATATATGGTGACTCATTTCCTATTCAACAATATCATCTATCTAAGATGTTTGTTCAACCGTTCAAGGTTTTGAAGCTGAAATTATTGGCAAACATTCCGTATCGCATGATTCAAGCAACCAATCGAAGCTACGTGCTTCGGTTCTTGGGGGCGCTTGTCTCGCCGCTCCGCACAGTGTTGCCAACCTTTCAACATTAGATTTCCCACGAGATTTTCTTTCATAAAATGTCTGATGAATCCGTAAAATGTAAATTCAACTTATTTTATAATATTATTCGTTGATATGTACTTACAAGGACTTCAGAATAAGTAATTTTTTTAATAAACCCCGAACTTAACCGTCCAGAATTACGTCATCGAAATAATTTGATCTGAATAGAATTATTGTCGATCAACATTATTAAAATAATATTGTTGATTGGAGATTTTTATAGTTCATAATAAAATACAAATCCATGATATAACTGAAACATGAGATCTGACATGTGATGTACTTCATTATTCTCATTATAAACAAAGAGCATGTTCAATTTCACAAGCTACATTAAAATAAAGGCGACATTCTGCCGAAGATAGTAAGACCGCTGTATATGTAAGTAACAAAAAACTATTTTTGAAATGTTGAAATGGCATGAAGATCCAAGTGCTCTTTCGTGTTACTGAAACTTGTGAAATCCTTATTTTTTGACCGTAGAGAACTTTCAATGGTGGCTACAGCATAGTCTTATTAGACAAACAACTTCTTTTTTATTTTTACTTCCTATGCCAAAACTGGCGAGGAAGTATCATAATCGCGTAAATTTTCGAAATTATTAATATTATTATTTAATATCATTAATAATATTATTATGTTTTTTTGATGTACATCAAGAACAACCATGTCGCTCATTTCCGACGGTCTGTCTATCTGTCGGTCTGTCCTCTAATTCTACAACCGCCTATAATTACTTAACAAAGTATCGCTCGGATTTTGATGAAATTTCCACACAAGGTTACTACTACGTTAGGGATAAAAAACTTTTGCAGATTTTGGAAGTCGGTCTAGTGGTGGCGGGGGAAAAAGTCAGAAACGAAAGAACAAACAAAATATAAATCGCCCAAGCTCCATTTTTTTGACGTTTTAGAGGGTCCTGACTTATTTTCAGAAGAATAATTTTGGTATGGATTGAAATTAGGGTGTCAGGTTTGATCTTAGTATATTTATATGCTCCCAATCCCTGCAATCATATCCACTTATTAGCGATATTTCACACATCATAGATTTACCCGTACATTTATCTTTGACACTTGAATGATAGAGAAATGTGTTCGATTTGCGAACCAGTGCGGCTTATACAGGCTGTTTCAAATCCGAAAGTGGCAATGTTAGTGTGAAATTGGTTTTGAAATCGCACTACAAATAAAGTAAGGGAAAATTAAAACGATTTTGGTAAAATTCGGTTTTTTCCGTCTCTCCCTGGAATTACTTTGAATTTTGGAACTTTAAAAGCGGCATTTTGATGACTACCTAGATACGCCACTTTATCTTTACTTAAGCGACTTCGTATCACTTACAGTTTCCGAGATCCCAAAGGTGAGGGTCGAATTTGAAACACCCTGTATATGTCTTCGTACTGAAGCTCAAAAAACATACAGTGCTTTCACGAACCGAAAGATAACTCGCTGCAGATGTGGAATGGGACAACGTTGTGATATATTCGATAACTACCAATAGGGCAGGGAAAGAATGTCCATGGACTAATTTTATGGACAGGATGGACTAACTTGATACATTTAATTTATCTGTTCTACATGTCCGTAACCCGAAATTTCCTCAGAGGATTCAAATTGCGCTGAACTTAATCCTTTATGAACTAATGACGGCGTTGCATAGGAAGTGTAGAGTCAACCCACTTGACGCCATTTTATATTGGCAATCATTGGATATATTCTTTCGGCTTCCGTATTAGAATAAGGTTAGGATGTAACTATTCTAGCAACAGTGAATAAATTACAAAAATTAGATAATTGTTGAAATCCTCTCACCTCATTTACTGCCGTCCTAAATTGTTCTATTGATAAGTCGAGTAGTTTTTTTTTTGTTTTTTCCGGAATATGAAAAGGCAAGCTAATTTTTTTAATCAAACTTTCATATTCTTTTTCTAACAATCCTAATGTATCAAGTTCTTTTGCAACTCTGCGCAGTAACTTCAGTAAGACTGAATCACTGTTTCTTTATTTACCATTATCCGACAATCCGGCCCGACGCACGAGCTTATGACCAGGAAATTTTCTGAATTTGACCCGGGGACTCAGCCAATCATAATTTCGGACTGAATTCGCACTATTCCCCAGCATTTACACGCGAAATATACATCAGCGAGAAGTTACTACGTTGCCGGTTTGATACTAGATCAAATGGTAATGTAATGTGTAATTGTAATGATTTTTGCGTAATGTTATTATACTCGTATAGTATAGTATCTGTACGTAACAGACAGCAAAGAAAATTCCCACAAATATCTAATTTTGAAAGAGTATTTCCCTTTTCCACCCAGTCCTCAAAATTTCTCACGAATCGGGAAATTTCCCACGAGTTGACATCAGTGGGTCCGCAAACCCTTCCAGCGGACGCGATTGGACTAACAGGTAGGATCCGGTCCTACTGGACATACCGCATTTACACACAACTCTAACTGATAGAGGTGTGTATTCCTTTAATAGCGTACAGCGCAAAGTACTACCTGACCGCTTGAATCGTATATACGATTTTATTTACAACTAGAAAAACGAGAATGGACAAAAGTACATGGTTTTTTATACCCTAACCAATAGCAGTAAACTCTACGGTAAAAATCATTTTACTTCAATGAATTTTTGTAACCAAGCAAAAGGACATCCAGATTAAAATTTGAAGTGAACACGTTTGTGGTATCCCTAGATTGCGCTAATAATTAGTCGTTGGGGCATGATTCTGATGAGGTCCATTCACGTCTTCTTAAGATTTATCATCCCATGCTAGCTGTACTTGATTCCGGAGAGATACTAATGTTGGTGGAGGATCAGACAACGAGGTCGATTTTCTTCCCATCATATCAAGCTGGTTTAGTTTGCGATGGGCTGGGGATCTATAATGTCAAAGCAAAGAGGTTCACTTGACCGTTTGGAGAAATGGTGCTAGCACTTCCTGGATGTACCGTTGCGTTGTTATACCTCGTTTATGTCGCATTCACATATTGGACCAACGTAGGCCAACACCAATATGTGAACGCTAAGCCAATGTGTATTTGCCGGGGCTGGCTAACGTTGGCGTTGAATGGCATATCATACCAACGTTGTCTCCAAGGTTTAAAAGCAACATTAATGGCACTCGTGTTCATCCACCATGCAACCCTAAAACAGAACTGAGAACAAGAAAATTGGGAAGACGGATGGCATAACATTGTTTCGAGTGATGATCTCGGTTCTGTTTAGGAGTGCTGCATGGAAGGGAACGATCTAGTCAGGAGCCGCCGCTGAGGAAGATGTAATTGTAAGGTTTTCTGTTGAACTTTATGTGCACCACTGTAGCAGCTATGTTTAGAGCGCAATAAAATATAGTGCTAAGCCACAGTGGTGTAGCTACGGTAGGGCAGTTCGATGTGGCGCACGGGGGCCCCAAGGGTTTGGTGGCTCCACAGGAGTCCCGGTACCTCAACCGCTTGAATTGTCGGAACTGGGTGAGTTGTGAGATGACTTCAAGTAAAAGAAGTTGCCTTATTTTCGATAACAACTGACAACACAGTGCCGCCACTTGAAATTACTCGATGATTACGTTCAAACCTAGTTTAATCCGACAAATTCAAAATACCTAAATATTCGTTTTTACTCGTTTATTTCCTGCAAAATTCTGCAAAAGACTGGAAATTCACTGAAAACAATTCTACTTGTTATAGATGATTGTTTAATTTCAATAATGTATCGTACAATACGTAATATTTGTCTCCTTTTCATAATAAATAAATATAAAACTCTGTAATGCTAAATTATTTATTAAAACTTGTATTAAAAATACGTCAGTTTCTTGTCCCGAAATGGATGCTTATAAGCAGACCAAACCTGTAGTAGTACGAGTATTTACTTCTGTGACTGACAAAAGAGTAAAATATCTTCTTTAATCAGAAAAATGATATAATATACTAATTTTGAATCTGATTCTTAATTTGTATAATGAATACACACAATGAGGTAAGGGAATTTGTAAAACAAATTTTACTATTATTGCATTACGTATTGTCAAGTTGGAATAACTTTGAAGTGGTGCAAAAATAAATGTCCTGCGTTGCCACCAATTGTTCTTAGTTTTTGCTCAAGGGCCTCCAATGAAAATCTGGCACTAGGACCCCAGGAACCTTAGCTACGCCACTACTAAGTCACTTCTAGTTTCCATTAGAGGAGGTATTGTGGTGCAACGGAAATATTGTAACCCCATTTTCTGACATTCCTTCAAACGCTTGAAGGCCCTATTTTCTAATAAGATAATGGCCGTTTCAATATTGCTAGAGGTATATTACACACAATTACACTCAAGTCAGCCTCCTTTCCTGGCCTCCTACATCTCGAGACTTCTCGCCAACTGAACATATGTGGGATATGACGGGAAGAAAAGTGACCTCTTAACTTCATCCTCCGGAAGCGTTAACAGCTTTTCGGAACAGCTCGTTTGGGATGAGATACCTCAAAAAGACGTTATTAGTATGTTTGTCTGTTTATCTATTGAAAGCATTCACTTAAAAATTTAATTACTACTTCCTCTTGCCCATGTCTAACTGTATACAAAGTTTTACTCAAATAAAATTATTTTTGCTGACTGATCTATTTTCTCTGTCTGTGAGTATATCTTAAATCAAATCAACAGCGGTCAGTAAAAAAAGTTAGATGCACCTTGATTTATATATTTTATTAAAGCAATTAACATATATGTATGAATGTCGAGGCAACCCACTTAAAGTCCAGTCTAATATTTTTATTGTTAATGGGCGTAGATAGGAAGCTCCATATTTCTGTCGGAATTCTAATCCGTACATTCTTTTCCTAGTAAGGTTCGAGTCCTATGATTATAACGTCACAACATGTGATTTATTTTAAGTGGGCTAGGAGAATGGAACCGATAAGTTGTTCAACTATTATCGTGTATAATTTAAACGTCATTCCCGTTATTTTAGTGGATCTGAATGCAGACTAACTTTGATTGTAGCTCAGATATTTGTTCGAATAAAAAATGAAATAGGTAGCCTTGGAAGCTTACCTGTTACGCTCGGAATGTTCGCGCCATCCATCCCATATGGCAAAGTAACCTGAAAGAAAAAAAGGAATAGTCAACAAAAACATTGTATAGTAGACTACCCGTTTAAGAGCTTTGGATACACCGACATGTTTGTTCAAGGTGGCGTACTTTATGAAAAAAAAAAATTGTTACCGAGTGCCCTGCCTTTAGTAAATACAGTCCTTTCGAGAAAGGCTCCCCTACCCAATTATTTTTTCAAGAGGTTCAAGTAACAAACTAAAGTTCGGAGTGATGAAATTAACCCCAGAGTACTATATTTTAGGGTAAAGGTGACAGTTGAAAATTTTAAAATTGCAGAAATACGTCATGTTGAAAAATCGTTTTTAAATGAAATAGGGGTCATGTGTACGCCATTTTCAAACTCATTATGAACAATTTATGACGCAAAGATATAAATATACTATTTTTCAAAATGGCAGTATTTCAGGCTGTCAAGATAATCGTTTGTGTACATTAAATCGCCCATAAATTAACAACTAATCATCAGAACGCTACACTATAAGTTATATCAAATTTCTTCTGAAAGGATCATGCAAATTCGTAATACAATATGGAACACTCTCTTTGAAAAAATGTGAAGATCTGTCATTTTAAATCGAAAATCCTATTTTTGAATGCACAATAATTTTCTATTTCAGGGTTATATAGTATGTACTTTAAGGAGCGTAATCCCTCATTCCATTTGGAAAATGCTCAAAGACGGTCACTTCTACCATTGATTAACGTATTCCACCTGAAGATATCCAACCTATTACTATATTCGTACATCCTAAAAATTATCCGAGATGAAACGAAACACCGTAGCAGCATTAAGGTCCCATAGATGGCGCTATAGATATACATATATGCTCATATACTGACATATAAATCCGAACACCCAGTTTAAATGGTTTTATTTTAATAAAATTTTGTATAAGTACTTAATGAAGCATAATAAGTAAATGATAAAAATTTCAAATTGATTGCACTGCTTTAAAGCCCTTTGACCTTTAATAATGTGTTGATGCACCCTACGCATTCTCCAACGCGCCTAGGCATGCTTTTGATCAAGTGGTCAATGCCCTCCTGTGGTATCTCATTCCAGGCAACCACCAACTCCTCTCGAAGTGGTTCTAGAGTCTGAGGAGGACGTTTGTAAATTGAGCAATCTCCTACCCATCATATCCCACACGTGCTCAATTGGGGATAAGTCGGGAGATCTTGGTGGCCATGGTAACAATGTGACATCATTATGTTGAAAGAAGTCTATTGTGACTCTTGCAACATGTGGTCGGGCATTATCTTGTTGGAAAGTTGGATCTGCCAGGGTGTCAAGATAGGGTAAAAGATGGGGTTCTAGAACTTTGTGGATAACGCTGCGTGTTCATGTTACCTCTGATGAAGATTAAAGGTGACCTGGAACCATAAGCTATAGCACCCCAAACCATAACTCCAACAGTGTGATGAACATGTCTTTCAACAAAAAACTGTGGATTCCTCCTTTCACCACGTCGCCTTCTAACCCTGCCACGACCATCGTGCATGCCTAAACAAAATCGAGACTCGTCACTAAAAACAATACTGTTCCATTCCTGATCCCACTCAAGGCGATTACGTCGGTGTTCTCGAGTTAAAGGGAGGACCCAGTGTGCCTGACAACACCTAACCACAGTGTCTACACTTCTTTGCACTCTAACTGCAATTGCCCGAAAAGAAGGTCCAGCTTCCCGAAGTCTCACTATACGGCCCCTATCAAACTCACTAAGTTGACGAAATCGTACAGGTCTCCGTCCTCTAGGCATCGTAACCGATCGTAAAGGATGTCAAGAACCAAAATCCGCCAACGTTGATTCTTTACTGCGGCTGAAATATTCAGTTTTAGAGCGTTAGTGAATTAAAAAAAAAGTAGTATAAAAACCGGAATGTCCAACTGATAAGGCTGAAAAATTTTTCACTTGTTATTTACAGTAAGATAAATACATTCACCAACTTTTATTAAAATAAAACCATTTAAACTGGGTGTTCGGATTTATATGTCACTTAGTATATATAGCTATAGCCATGTATGAAACACTAACCTTTCCAAAGTATATTTCTAGTTACCGCGGAGAAAAAAAAACATAGCGGTGATAAATTCTCAAAGATGCGGCTACGGTATCCTATTTCATCTCGGATACTTTTTCATACACGCGAATATAGTAGTAGGTTGGCTATCTTCAGGTGGTATACGTTAGTCAATGCTTTTACGTCAAAATATAGCGGTCTTGCATTAATTTCATCACCCCGATTTCCAGCTTAGGAGCTTGACCAACATACTCCGGCATTGGCGACTGCTACCAAGATCTGCACGTGATTCTGGCGGTACAACAGCCGATTTTTGATAACTCAAACCACTTGCAGTATATCAAGTACAATATTTGTACAAAGCTTCGGAATAAATATGCAAAGATAAAAATGTACATGTTTCTCCTTAATTAAAGCATCGTCACTGAATCCAGATTAGAATACCGTGGACTAGCTGACTGTCGCGGCAGCTTTTTTTTACCTTTTCAGTTCGTGATCTTAAACTAAAGCAGCAACAAAACAAGTTGATCTTGTACATGAAAGAGAACTCAACCACCGATGTCACATGTATACTGATAGGGTTTAATATTTCAGTACTTCTTTAAGAAGATGGTTTCAGATATCCTAATAACCGACACCACAACGTTCGATACGATTACCAAGTATATAGTAGATCTAACACAAATTGAAAAATCAAAAAAAAAAAACGGAGTCGCAAAAGGAGGAGTGATATTCTATATAAATATTCTAAATAAATAAAAATCCTGAAAGTTATCGTATGCTTTAATTTTTGTCTACGGTGCGATGTTTCGTCCTCGACTGGTCCTTTCTAAGTACGTATATAACTGACATCTGTGACAATATATTTTTTTCTGTGACGGGAAAAAGTTTCGACATTTTATCTATGTTGACAGGTAACAAAATGACATTTTTTATGAAATTACTTTTTTCCCCTGAAAAAAAAATGTACTTTTTTCCCGTATATTGTATATATGTACTAATTCCGGTGGAGTCAAAGAAAACTCGGAATCATACATTTTTTATTTTATAGTATTAAAAATAACTTCTAAACAAACACTAAGTTCACAATTTTTAAATCAAATCACAAGCTATTGGATTACTTTAAAAGTTCACTTAGGAACGCAGGTCTAATTGTCGCTATAAGTACAACGTAGCCTACTAATTCTAAAATTCAAATTTCACATCGATAATTTTCTGACTTAAATATTGTAATATTAAATTGCCGTTTTTCCCGTCACAGAAAAATATTATATACGGGAAAAATACTAAATTTTAGCTAGTTTTTTCCTTGTATAATAAATAACTATTGTTTTCTGCCTTACAGGTGACATTGTGTTTCTTTTTTCCTTTTTCACATTCCGATACAGTGTTACTACAATAGTCGGAAAGGTCCTGAAGCATTTTTGTGCGAAGCCATTATTGCCTTTTCAAGATGGCATCGCGCAAAACCAGCAAGGCCCAGGACCCACAAATGCACCAGACATATCACCCTCGTCCTGCGAAAGCGCCAAAAGTCATCTGATAACTCGAAAGCCCACCTATATCAATAGGTTATACAGCACCCTCGTGTGTCTTGGTGTGAGTGAGTCTTCGAAATATTTGTTTGCATTGTTTCTCGTAAATACTCGTCATCGCGGTACAGTTGGTTTAATGATTCACAGTATGCTCCGCTGCACCACTAACTAATCTATACACGGTGTCCCACTTCAATATCCTAAAATAAAAATTTTAAAAACTGCGCGTTCTAGAAAAAAAGCTTTAAGCAAACATCATTGGGTTTCGAGGAGGCGAAATGATGATGACCTCGACAATGACCTTGACTATGACCTTAAAGGTAATTTCAAGGTCAAGTGGATATTTTTAAACGGCACCCCTTTTTTCATATCGGAATTGTCACCTTTGTGTCATCCCCACAAACTTCTAAATCTAAACTGTGCTGTAAAACATTTTTCCTAGAACAAATCGTTTATCGATGTCTTCATTTGACCTTAAAATGGCGTTGGAGGAAATGTTAAAGGTCATAGCCAAGGTGAGTGCTAGGGCGTGACATTTGCTTCTGTTTTCAATTCTGATGTGAAAAGGGGGAGTTCGATTATAAAAATTGACCTTGAAGGTCATTGTCAAGATCACAGAAACTTTGCCCTTAAAACATTTGTTTCAAACATTTTTTATAGAATGCGCAGTTTTCGAATATTTATTTAGGTGGGGATATTGAAATGGGATTTCGCATCTCTTTTGTGGCTCTGGGTTTTTTCGCTGCTTCAATTGGCATTAGATCTATTTACAACCTACTATAGGTATCACAAGATCGCAATCGGCCGGGTAAATACATAAAAGGTCATCAAAATACTCATCTTTATTCTTTCACATGATAACTGCATTGCAGTCACAGTCGTGGTTTAGTGGTCCAGTATATACAGCTTTTATGCAAATCCCATGGGAAACTCTTCAGTGGTTTTGATATTATCTGTCGTATCATCCATTTCACACTTTTTTGAGGGCTCTGATTTTTTGTGTCTGTTTCAACTAGGATCGGAAATGTCATGCGAACACAGACCGAAATATGCAAACCGCTCTACAATTAAAAGCTGAAAATTCTTACTTTTGGAAACGAAAGTAGCATTCATAGAAATCGGAAAGAATAAACGTATGTTCCCAACCATTCAGCCAACACGAACGAAATGATTTTTTAAGAGGCGCGATTTAAGGAGACAGCCTTGGACGAGCGGCAGACTGTTTAAGAGCATGACGTAACTCGCCTTGACTGCCTTCAACAACGCGCTTTGTAAACATGTAAATCCGTTTTACAATGCTGTCTGAAGTGCTGTTACGTGTCTGCTGGGCGTACCCGCGAAGCATATGCTTCGGAAAATAAATACTTTGTCGCCGTATTTTGAGTTTTTCTATGTTTTGAATCCATGTCATGGATACATTGGTGTGAAGTCCA